TAAAAGTATACAAAATCCTTAAGGCATTGACAGAGTCAACGCATGGACTTCTTCAGTGTCAACAATGCAACACCAACCAGAGGACACTAGTGGAAACTCTATCAAGAACAGGAGGCTCTTCTTAACATGGAGGCTAAAGGGAGTGTGGAACAAGCCACCCAGCCAATGTTGTTAAAGCCAAAAGTCTGGCTTCTTTCAAAAAACAACTGGATGAGATCCTAAAATCAATTAGTCACTAATTACCAAACAAACTAGGTGAACCAAATGGCTGAATTATAACTACAGTACACACCTGCACACACCTGAAAAGGGCTCCACAGCCAAAACATTGTGTCTCATTTCTTCTCCTTTCAGAATGGAATAAACCTTCACCTGTTCCTTTGCAGCCTACGCATGCTGATGCAGCTCCCTATTCGAATGATAAATAGTCGTATGGGAGGATGGATGAAAAAGGTATTGAAATGGAAAATCTTTTTTGTTTCGAGGCAGGATTCTGAAGCCAGCTTTTAACCAGATGTCCTGCAGCAATCTGTACATGTCAGCCTAATATGTCAGCCTCAGACACACTCTTGCTTTGCAGCAGTCCAGGATTTTGATAATTTCTCTCAGTGCACACACAATGAGACAAGAATGCATTTCTGGCTACCCTTAAAAACCCAAAATAAGTCTAGGCAGTTCTTTATCTCAAGCATTTCTTTAAGTTTCAAAATTGTTTTTGCACTGTGAAGTATATTCAATAAGATATTAACTGCTGATGCTGGAAGGGTTGCTAAAGCAATACCTCCATTTGCTCCATAGGTTCATCATAATTTAATGCACCTGGTATTTCCTGAGGTCTGCTGCAGTGCTTGCAGCTCTGAGCTCACTCTTGTAAGAAGCCTGTATGGGATCAATTGGCAGCTGTGTGCTTGCCAAGGCAGTGCTGCAGTGCACTATTATCATTCTTGTGATGTGACTCTGAAAAACCCCACCTCTCTGCGTGGCCAGACAGAGTGCTTCCAAAGGGAAATTGCAAAAATAAATGACAGCAGAGAACTTTTAACAAACACACGTGAGATTGTTAAGATGAAAGAAAATCTGCAATTTCTCACTGAAAGGGGATTCAGCAGCTGCAGTCATACTGCAGGCTGGTATGATGTTTCTGAGCATCTGCAATGCAAGCTAAGCAGTCACATGGCCAGAGACTCCACACTCCTCGACAGCAAACACAGCTCAAGGGATTTCTTTCAGAACCACAAGCATGCAGAACTCCAAATGCATCTCTATCTGCATGCACCACTAGCCAGTGCCTGGAAACGACTGTAACATTTTAACGTTCACAGTCATTTATGTAGGCTGAAAAAGCAGCTCTGTGACTTTCTTTTACTATGTCAAAAGTGTGGCTTACACAGCTGTAAAAATACAGAACTTTCAGTGCAGATGACACCTGTACAAATGATTTTTCAAGGTTAATCAATTGGTCAAAGGTTATTATCTGATCTGCATGTTTTGAGATGCATAGGCGCAATGTTAAAGAACAAAGAAAAAAACAATTATTACACAAACGTCCCTTACAATGTTACAGTAATTTGATCTTGAAGTGAAATGACTGATGCCAATAGAGAGTTTTATTTTTTTTTTGTTTTCCTTTTAGAAAAGATGTCTAGCACATGGAAAGATGAAAGCCTTCACACTACTGAGCCAGACTGAGTGCTCCCTTTTTTATCTTACCAGGGGCAAAGCTCTGTTTCCATGGTTACCTCCACAGCTTTGAGGCGTGGACAAAGACAGCCACATACACATTTGGAGACCCTTAATGTGAAAATTCTGTATTTTCATGCAGAACGATAGTCTGTACATTTAATACAGTGATCTTCCTGCATACACCAGACAAACATACTGTACAGCTGAGTAGATTAAAGTGTTAGTTGTTAATACTCGAAGTTAAAGAAATTGATCTTTCCCTTTTACTTGCATTTTCATTGCTAGAAGGCATTTCAAGAGGATTTTTAAAAATAGATTGCTGAGCTGCCTTCACTCACTATGATTAAAAAGTATTGAGGAGCAGTGTGAGAGGCCTTCTTTCTTCGGCAAACAAATGGGACTTTTTTCATCAGCAACAATGGAGCTAACCATCTGGAATGTGAGATAGCCCCATTGCAGGAGGGGAGGGCTGTATTAGAATAAACTGTGAGACTCTGGCAGAGAGACACCCCCCCAGTTAAGCCCGAACCCTCCCCCACCAGGGGTGAGAGGGAACTGAACTGTCCTGACTCAGGCCGCAAGTGAGAGGTCTGATTGAACGTGGAAAAATTCACATTATATACTGTTCTAGCTCATGAGATGAAATTTGAAAAAGCAACACGCCTGCCTTGAAATGTCCATTGGAATGACTCAATGAGTCAGACCTCCCAATATCCATCTGCCAGCTCCTGATACACCATCAGGAACAGAAATGCCATTCCCAACCAAACCAGGGGATGTTTCCAAAACTTTCCTTAAAGAAATTTTACATGATTCCCTTACTGGCAGAGCTTGCTGTGCAATTCTTGTGTCCTTTACACTTTTAATGTTTACCGCAACAGTATTCATTATCAAGGGGCAGTCCTGCATCAACATGCAATTCTGAAGGCAAAAGTCATGACCAGTAATGCATAAGACACTGTGTTTTTTTAATTACGGATAAAGTAGAACAAACATTACACACTGAGGAGAAATAAAACAGTTCTACTGTTGCAAATGTACACTAAAACAACTTGTAGATTTTATATATTAAACACACTCTTAAGGCAAGAGCTGGACTGGTAAAAACTGCCTGATGGCAATAATTAATGACAGGACAGGAATGAGCTCACTTAAGTAATTAAGACAGAAATTTGATTGGGGACAAGAGAACAATAAAGGACTTGTGAAGAATACCTCACAGAGTATAGCAAGCTGGGAGGTTTACAGCTAAATCTCTCAGCAGGAGGCCACAGTGGCTGTTTGACACCTTTAGGGTTAAACGTCTAATTTTCCACCAGCTTGGATTATACTCTAGACCCTTTCAGTAGTGTGTGTGTGCTCACACTGAGGCTGACCTGAGTATGTGTACTACTGTTTGTCTCGAACAAGCTTAAGCTGTTTTTGATTCATCACAATGATAGAATATACAGCTTTATTTTTTTTTCCAGTTGCTTCACCAGCAGGAATGCCCACAGTATTTGTTTATGAAAATCCATGAAATCACCTGCACCAGTTATCGTGGGCATTTTCAAGACTGATTTTCTAGAGCAAAAAAATACTTTTACTTCTTCATCTATTTCTAACATATATTTAAACAGCTGTGGCTGTCTTACTTATTTTCAGTCGTGTTGCCTTATATTCATGCACTTTTCCAGTATTTAAAGAAGCTATATACCCACAAACTATAATGCTGCCTCATTCATGTTTAAAGGCTACATAGCACACATGCCTTTTCTGATTTTCTGTGAGCTTAGCTTGACAAAAAGACAAATTGTGAAGTACCATAACTATCCCACAGAATCATCTCCTGCGAAAACAATAACACCAGCATCTTTTTACACACAGGACTTATGTCTTCATGGGAAAAAAGCTCCTAATGGTGACACTTCTTTTTCTTGATTGTGTTGATAAAGGACTAACAGCCCAGCCATTGAATCAAGTTGATTCATTCTGCACACACCTTCACATTGCATACTCCAAATAGCCCAAGAAATATAGCTAAAACATTCATTCCTTTTCAGCCTGAATTATTTGACATAAGGACTTTCTTTTGAATAAAATTACATAACAATATTTGTACAAGGTGAATGAATATATACAAAACACACTCATTGTTTAAAACTTATTAAACAATAAAAAAAGTTCTGCCTGTGTAATTTATATGCACTGTATACAGTACAATGACAAATGCACTGCATGTATTATACTTTTTATCATGCATATTAAACTTTTACAAACTGGAGCCAAATATATAAATACATTTTCAGTGCCTTGGATAAAAGCATGACGGTTGCCAATATTATGTAGACAAGAGCCATTGTTTATTTTGCTGTAGTCTTTACTGAATTGCTTTTTCACAGCGATGAATAGATCATTGTATGAGTGGACACTCTTGAGTTTTGTCTCCTCGTTTTCTCTCTTGCCTGTGTGGGAGATAATGTTTTCCACATGACATATCCAGTTTGATTTGTTCTGCACACGTGATTGTAAACACTGGCTCTGATGCCATGTAAAAACAATTTAGACAGAAGAACTGCTATTTCGGTTTCTCGGTGTCAAACGTTGTTATTACTGGTGATAGCACTGCTTCGGCATCACGACTAATACAAAGCTAAAGAATAAAATGCATGCATTTTTTGTGTGTGCTGTATTCAAAATTCACTTTCACTGAAGCATTCCTGAATCGACTTTCCCTGTGTTGTATGGCACGCATTTGTATATAAAAAAACGCCCTTAACTTATGTTTTGCTACTAAATGGAAACAATGATACCATTCGATGTAAAGGAAAATCTAACTAGTCCTGGTAACCAAGTTATTCATTTTAATTTTGCAGAAAAGCTCCTAACCTGTTTTAAAGTTGTGGGCACGTTGTGCACATGCAGAGAGCTTGGCAAAATTGCACCCCTTCACACACAAACATCGCTACCTTGTTTAATTCTGAATTAAGCAATCGGTAGAATATTCGTATATCCACTTCTTGCTGCACGCAATTACTGCCAATAAATGTTCATTCTACCCCAAGTCGATATATTGTGTTCCAGGGTGTGAAATGTGGTAGAAGGCTTTTTGGCTAAGGTGTGGTGCGGCTCTCTCGCATGCATCTATCTCATTTTGGTGTACCGGCGCTCGATGCAGTTACTGCTTAACGTTTTTACCACCCCGCATCTTTGATCACCCTTTTTCTCCAACTGCAAACCTAAAGGCTTTTGCTGCAGTTTTCTCTAAAAAGTCCCCTCGAAACTGGAGGCGTGGCTGCGAGACTGACATCACTCATCTGTATAAAAAGCTGCAGCTGTGGCTGGAGACTCAGGCTGTCTGAGGCTGCAGAACGGGGTGCTCCTGTCTCCGAACAAAGAAACTGAGCAAGCATCATAATCATAGCACAGAATCATCTCTCCTACCAAAACAACAACAACACCCTTTTGTAAGCCAGTAACAACAATGACGGCAAACGGTGTCAGCGAGATGCTCCAAATCCAGTTTGGGCTCATCAACTGTGGGAACAAATACCTTACCGCTGAAACGTTCGGGTTTAAGGTCAATGCCTCTGCCACCAGCATGAAGAAAAAACAGATCTGGACCCTGGAGCAGGATGGAGATGACTCCAACATGGTCCTCTTCAAAAGTCACCTGGGCAGGTATCTGGCAGCGGACAAGGACGGCAACATCACCTGTGATAGCGAGACCCCCGGCGTGGATTGCAGATTCATCATCGTCGCTCACGACGATGGGCGCTGGTCTCTGCAGTCTGAGCCCCACAAGCGCTACTTGGGCGGCACGGAGGACCGGATCACCTGCTTTGCACAGACCATCTCGGTGGCGGAGAAATGGAGCGTCCACATCGCCATGCACCCTCAAGTCAATATCTTCAGCCTCACCAGGAAGAGATACGCTCACCTGAGCTCCAAGCAAGACGAGATCGCCATAGACAGGGATGTCCCCTGGGGAGTGGACTCCTTGATCACTTTGGTCTTCCAGGACCAGAAGTATAGCCTTCAGACGTCGGACAACAGGTTTCTGAAGAATGATGGCGCGCTGGCAGAGAAGCCCGACAAGACCACTGGCTACACTCTGGAGTTCAGGTCGGGAAAGGTGGCGTTCAGGGACTGTACGGGGAAGTACCTGGCACCCTCGGGGCCCAGTGGGACCATGAAGTCTGGCAAGAGCACCAAGGTTGGAAAAGACGAGCTGTTTGTAATGGAGCAGAGCCACCCCCAAGTGGTGCTCACCGCTGCCAATGACAGAAACGTGTCCACCCGGCAAGGTAGGGGTTACTCTTCTCTGGTTACCTTAACTCTTCACATCATGGGGCACGTTTTTGAATTTGAAATTGAATAGGCGGGCAGAGGGTTGGTTATTCTTCAGAAATATGCTCATACTTCAGCATAACGGTGGAAGGAACCACAAAACGATTCAGCACTGCCAAAGCTGCTCTTTGATGTTAGTGTAGGATAAACGTTTTTGGGGAAAAAAATCTCAAACTGCTTGACTAAAAGCACCCGTGTTCGTAATTCAATAAACAATTTTAAATGAATCTATATGCATAAGCGTATCTGCTTATGTATTGTAAGCGTCACGTTTGCAATGCCTCTTTTATGTACAGTAGCAAAGAAATGGTTAATTAGCCAGTGAATGTATTTAATGCTAGGAGGTATTTTTCTGAATGCTCCATTTAACTGAAATCTTTCATCCGTCTTAAACAGCATGATTTGCTTCATTTTTTACGGTTTGGGAAGGGTCTTTTTTAAGAATGGGAGCGCTGTCTTTTAAAGTATGTGTATTTATGGTTTTGGCTTTGAAGAACGACGAACTCAACTGATAAAGGACTTAATTTGCAAATCAAATTCTCGCCAGCCTTTCTAGCTTCTGAGCAGACTGGGCTTCAGACGAATGCAAAACAAAAAGACATCCTAGAATTTTAAAGTAATGTTGCATTATTTTAACTCTTCGGCTATTAACGGTTTCCATTTTCCAAGGACTCCCCTTCTCACACAAAGGATCCTTACTTTCAATACTAATAAAAATAGTGGATGAACTGTTCATGTACTTAAGCGTTATTTGTTTTTCTTGGTGGGGGTTGGGGAGTCAAACACCCATCTGTACAACTTGCAGTGGTATTCTACCTAATTCCGAGGCTTCGACTTTATTTTAAACTGTTCTTGGAAGGTATGTGCCATGTGTGGATCGGTTTACTCGTTTCTTCGTCCGTCTTTAGCAATGTGCATTTGTTTCGGGTTAATGTTTGATGCACAGAAGACTTCCAGAGATGTGCTTAGCCATTTGGCTAACCGGCAGCCCGTATGTGTCACAAAACAAAAGATGCGTTCTGCAGAAGGCAAGCCCTCACGCCCGCAGCACGTCTTTTCCCCCTTTATGCTCGAGTCAGGAGCCTGCCAAGGCACAGCAGCAGGAGTGTATGTGGATTTTCGAACGGAAGCGTGCCTTAAAACTTACTGTGGAGTAGCATGCTAATTTTGTAGCCACTGGGATGCGCTTTAAAGAGGCTTCGAGTCATGGGGTGTAAATTACAACCGGCAGACCTTTCTCTTGGGGGGGGGGCAGAGTTATTTTTTTTCCAAGTTTCCTGGATTCAGATCAGAAAGTGGAGTCATGTTTCCTCACTTTTTTTTAATATTGCTGTTATTTATTACCCTGATGGCGTGAGTGCCTACGATCTTGTGAAGCAACCTTCATTCTGTTGCGTGGAGAGATTTTAAAACAAAAAGTCCTGTGTATTGAGTCTGTAGGAGGGTTAGGGGGATGTACCATGTGTTTTGTGCAATATGGAGCTTTGTATCACCTTAGCTCTTATCTCGAATAAGAACTGGGGCAATTTCTTTGTGATTACAAGTTATAATTTGTAGTTACCTTGCTTAATGCCTCAGATTATGCAAAAGTCTTTATTGCATTTTAATGGGAATCCATAGAATATTTTCACATCTTTTCATTCTGAAGAAAATGGTCTACATTTTTTTAGACCCTTCAATGCACATACAGAAAGTATATGACCATCTTTGTTCATCTTTTGTTTTTAGCAAGTATTACTTGAATTGGATTCTCACGGATAATGAAGTAATTAAATTGTCATTAACTTGAGCAATACAAAGTAGGTGCTGATTTAATCCTGGAAGTCTTACTTTAATCTCCTTATCTATTACTATAAAGTCCCAAAAGCAAAGCAATAACTGCATTTCTCTGCATGTATAAACACATCTACATTTTTAATCTATTTAGTAGTACAAGGAGCTAAAGATTTTGCAACATGAATTTAATGCTGCATGCAGCAGCTTACTGTTGAATACTGCAAAACATGCACATTTGAATCAACTTCACTAGTTAAAACACTGAAGCTTGCCCATGTTTAAAATCTGCATCTTCGGCTTTTGCTGACATAGCATAGTTATTTTTCCAATGTTTGGTTGTGAATTAAGATTATTGTTAATCCAGGTTCACATTTTTAGGTGTCTTTTTAAAAAAAAAAAAAATTATTTGTTTTTAAATAGCATGCACTGTCACTCCAAAGGCCAAAAGTCTTCATTTGTCTCACGTAAACGGGCATATTTTTATTTTCAGGGCTGTCATCTTGGTGTTTTATCTGCCACCCTACAGAAATTCAGATTGCAGACTCAAGCCATTCACGCCAGAGGGTTGATTAGTTGCCAAGAGCAAGCTGCACATGGTTTGAGATGGGCATGTTAAGATGAAAACTGGGCCCTTTTCTACCATCTTCACTGCACAATATGCCCCTTATATTGAGGAGTTTTTTTTACCAACATAAATTCTGCTGCTTCATTCGGCTATGTAACGCTTGGTAGAAGTGCAATGTACATGAGTGATGAGCTATACTTATTCATAGGTATATTTCTACATTGTCCAACTGCATATCGCTGACATCCAGTTCCTTTATTGAACTGAGGAACCCGACAGGCTACTACTTAAGTTAAAACAGTCTGCCCTGTTTGGTAATTGAAAGTTGCCCCTGACATTTTTATTTAACAGGAGTGTTTAGCCGTTGGAGTAAACTTCTATCGTTACATAGAGGAAGGAAGAAGGTGCACAGTTTGAATAGTTCTTTGTTATTGAAGAATAATGTGGCATAATGTTTATGCATTCTTTTGGATGATCTCATTTTGATAATTAAGGGGTTGTGTTATAGCCAAAGAATGTTAACCCGAGATCAGTTTAGGAAATAACCCTTTACGATTCCCTCGTATACATATGCAGTAGGTATGAGTAGTGTACTTTTCCATTTAGGTGCTGCAGGGTGCAAGACACTTCTGTATTGCAACAAAGTTTTTTTTTTTTTTTTTTTCTGCTGATGTCAGGAACCTCTTGACCTTGCAGCAGTTTCAGATATCGACTGCATAGAAATCATAAGTTTTTACATGAAATTGGAGGAGCCTGGAGCCGGCCGGTGTAATTTGAAGAGAACAAAGGCAGTGTGATCTCACCAGGCCTCCTCATCGGCTGCAGCTGCTTGGCCCCATGGCTTGGCTATCCGAACAATAGGGGCTCTGAGAGAGGTTAACTTGAGACCATGTGCGTGAAGCCTGACAAAACTTCATGCACAGCTCCAATCTGCATTGAACTCTACAAAGTTTTTACTTTCTTACAAAATGGCCAAATGCAGGGATTAGTAGGAGAAACCATTTTGAAGAAGTCTATATCTTCATATGCCTTTTTCTTAAGAAAATACCAACCGCTGAACATGTAAACTTGGGTATGGATTAAAAGCTCATCCCTCCTGCCAATAGCAGATGATGATTGGTAACTGAGTTTAATGGCTAGAAGCAATTGTTCCTGGGACTTCAAAAGCTGATTTGTTTGAAAATCAGTTGTCTAGCCAGATGTGCATATTTCTAAATTCACTGAAGACCTTTTCTGAACCATACAGTTTTTAATAGAATGGAAAAAAATCTGATTTAAAGTGTTTTTCATCCTAAAATGGGTTTAGCAGTGCAATTCTGAAGCCATCCCATCCACAATTTGGCAGTTATCCAAATCTTGCCCATCATTATTCTGTATTCCTATGATTTGGGCTATTAAGATCCAGGTATTGCTTCTTATTTTTCTTTTTGTCGAAGCCTGATTACTGATTTTAGTCTTTTGCTTCTCAAAGTTTGTCTGGGTTTTTCTTTCAAAAGTATTTACTTGCCTGTGTACTGAAAATGAGTTGAGAGCTGAGCTACAGTAGTTGTATTTCTCGGCACAGTGACCTGATTTTTTTTTTTCTCCCCACCAATCTAACAATACTGCCTGTCCTCATTTTGACCCTAGCAGTGTTTGATTTAACTTAAATCTCCACTGAAATGCTGACCTGAGCATCCTTTCCTTAAATATTACCATCCTGCCAACACCCTGAGCTGACCGGCTTGTCTTAATATATGTTTCTCAAAAAGGATGGGGCATCTTGCAAAAGCTTTGGAAGTTTTGAACATTATGGGATTTAAAAAAATGCTTAATGGTACATTTTGACATTAGATGACTAGGTTAATTTAAAGATGCTTTTTGGTTTTACAACAAAATTGTATCATTGTATTGTGACATGTTTTTCAGGGACCTTCTGATCATTTCCCCCCATCAGAAGATTTCATTTGGTCTGGCAGATTTCACTAGGCTTCTGGATATTCCTGTTCCGTTGCATTTTTCAACAGTTGACAATTTTGTACATCTACCAAACCTCTCTACAATACGTATTCCTCTAGCCTCAATCTAGGTATAATATTACAACAGGGTTTTTAGTTTTGCCTGTTGTGAAAGTAATTGCCCTGCTTTTAACAGAACCTTTTTTTTTTTTTTGCTTTGGAGTAACCTGTTAATTTAACACCATCACCTTGAAAAGTGATTGCAATACTTTTGTCCAAGGACATATTTTTTCTGAATAGCTTTAAGGAAAAGAGTGCTGTATTAAATATCAGGTTTCTTAAATAGAATATGGCTTTGACCTCCAAGTACAATTTCCTTCCTTATTTTTGCCTTGGTTAAGAGAGAGGAGGCCGATCTAGCCCATTCGGTAGTTCAGTAGTCAATTGAGCCAAAGATCTCATTTGGTTATTTCTTGAAAAAAGCCAGGATGTAGTCTTAAACATGGCTGGGTAGCTTTTTCTGTACTCCCACAACCCAATGAGGAGGAAAGTGTCTCCTGTTGTCAGGTTTAAGTGCACTTCCACATAGTTTCCACTTGTGCTCTAGGATTCATGTTTAACCGTTCATTCTAAATCCTCTGGGTTGATTATGAGTGCCTTTGAGGATTTAGAATACTTGTATCTCTGCGTTCTGGTTGTTGTTGTTGTTGTTGTTGTTGTTGTTGTTGTTATTGGAGAATCGGAAAGATTCTGAAGAAGCAGAAGGAAGGGTGATTGTGGAGAACAGGTTTGTCGTAGGGAATGAGGATTGCTCCAAATTTTTTCCTTCATAAAGCAAGGCTGCCTGTATTTTATTCACAATGCCTTTCCTAGGTTGAAACTTAGCAGATGCGTTTTTTTGGGGGGGAAATTGCCTCATGTAAAGAATGAGGGCTGTGATCCAAGTAGTGCAGTAAAAGTGCTGAGCGAAGACCTCTTTCTGCCAGTTTTTAAACCATAGACCTTTCTTTTGGCCAAGTTCAGTTTTGGGCTTGTCTGAACCCCTCTGTCTTAATCTCCTCCAACCCCCTACTAAACAGCTCTTTATAACCATCTGTTTCTCATCTTTGCTGTTCAAGTTTGGATAATTCTGAGAAATGGATATGCCAACAAAGTGCTTATATTCCTAAGATTACCATCTTACAAGAGTAAGGAATATATTAATAAGGCTAGTAAGTCTTGGAAACGTGCTTCTGTTAAAAATTGAAGTCTAGGGAATATACAGGGGTATTAGTAAATATGCTCTGGCAAAGTCTTAAGGATGAGAATGTAAGATGAAGTACTTGATGTTTATGAATGATTTGGCTATTCTCACAATGTTCTGTTGAGAGTGCATTCACTTGCAGTTTCACATATGGTTCATAGAATTGTTAGTTCCATTATTTCTTGCTCCATGTGATATCTTCAACAGGCCTTGCATTATAAAGAGGTGGTTTAAGAACATATATTCTTGTATTGTGTTGTAAAGAATCTCACCATATACTGTAGGTGCACAATATTCAGGAAAAAAATGGACATGTGCAGGTGTGAGTTTTCTAAAGAAGGGAGAACCTTGAATATCTGCAGAAGATGAAGTCTTTCATCTGCGTACTATCTGCACTCAAATACCGGTGGCTTCCATGACTAGGGGAAGCTGATATGTTGTGCTGACCTGCACAGCAGGTTGTGTTTTCAATAAGCCGAGATTTGGCACATAAAAAGGACCAGGGTGACTTGGCAGCTTTCAGTAGTGGAACTGCAAGAGAGATGTGTAAAACCCATTCCCTGACCTCGCTGTGTCTAATTCCCATTGAGCACTGTGGATTTAATTTAATGGCAGATATCTCCCTAATACAGCATGTTGTGTAAGGAATTCTATCACTTTTAAAGCCTTCCCATTTTAATTTCTTTGGTTTATATATATATATTCATAAATGGCAAAAAAAAGCACATTTTATGTAAAAAAACTGTCCAACTGTCCTATCTAATATTTTGATGCAGTATATGGTGGTAACAACCATTCCATTTGTTAAACCACAATCTTGTCTTTTTCCAATGAATTCTTATGCTGCGAGATATGCCAGAAGGCACAGTGTGTTGCAAATGGAGGCTGATGTAAAATGTTCAAGAGCAGGCGACTGCAAAGTGAACTTCAGGAGACTGTGCAGTTCTGTGTGTCAACCACAAAACTGTACACCTAGAGTAATTCGACATCTGCAGAACTTCAAAAAGGAGCTATTGCTCATGCCAAATTTGTGATTGATCCCATTCACATTGATTGATTGTTGTTCTCTGGTGTTAACTGCAATATCTAGAAACCTGTTGGGATTTCATTAAAATAATAATTCCCCTTGTATACCTTGGCAACACGCAATACCTAAGTGTCTAAACACTAGATTGCATTTTCAGGAATGGACCTCTCTGCTAACCAAGATGAAGAGGGAGACCAGGAGACCTTTCAGATGGAGGTCAGCAAAGACACAAAGAAGTGTGCTTTCAGGACCTGCACTGGGAAATACTGGACCCTGACGGCCAATGGAGGGGTACAGTGTACTGCCTCCACCAAGTGAGTCCAGCCCTTTTTCACAGGGGTAGCATGGCCTAGCTTTGCTCTTCACAGCCACAGGCCCCTCCATTCTTCATTGTATATGTTGTTAAGGTTACACACTTCGTATTGGTTGTATACAAACAAACGTCACCCTGCCTTGTGCCCGTTGCTTGCTGAGATAGGCTCTGGCTCCCCCTGTGACCCTGTGTTGGAAGAAGTGGTTAGAAAATGGATGGATGGATAAACTGCTTTCAAGAAAGAACTCATCAAGCTTTGCCCACGCTGGCATGATACCAGGAGCTAGGCTAGGCAAGGCTAGCTTGTTGGTTCAGTCATGTCCCATTAATGTGAACATGGGTTGAAGAAAAAATTGTGGTGTAGAAGGTGTGGGGTTACCCCCTCCCCCCTGCCCCTCTAAAATAAAGCAGATTTGATGGAACGCATTAACATTTAGGCATTGTTTTGGTATTTTTGCTTTCTTTACTGCCCCTGTCCATTTTGTTCTTGAAGGACAGCAAGGTTGTGGCTAAAATGAAAGGCCTTCACTGCAGGAATACCTAAAATAATTGACATCAATATAAATCGGATTACAAATGAGAGGGATCCATCAGCCAGTCTAGCTCTTTGGTTTTTCTAGAGTTAATCGACCCTCTGTGTCTTTCTTGAAGTTGAAGCCAACCTCCTGGCTTACAAGTGTGTCCTGTAATATTCTATCCGTTTAACGTGCCCTGAGTGATGTGATCTTCTCTTCACTCAAACCCATGAGCTTCTTTATTCGGATAGTGCACATCCTTGTTCTTTTAAAACATGGACAGTGACTATTGCATCAGTGGGTTTTATGGGCACAAGATGTTCTACATTATCACATTTGTCACGTTAAGTTCACTGTCATAAGGGAATGGTCATTTTAAGGTCAATATGTATGTCTACTAGAGTGACTTGGACTGAGGTATTATCATATGGTAGACACTGGCCAAATGCTCCTTTCAATAAAGGAGGTTCTTGCATGTGCAGCATTAAAACGGTATATATTTCTTAGGCTATCATTTTCTCCACCACAATTCTATATAATAAAAATATAATGAAGTTGAAGTATATGAAATTTGATGCCTCTGTTTTGATTACATTTGGCCCCTGAACATACTAATTTCTCAAAACTGTCTTTCTATATAGTAGTCTTTTAAATTAATTTAGAAAGCTTTTGGTTCTCTCTGGAAAGAGTGCAATATGTACAAGAATTAAAAAGCCCTTTTACCACAATCAAATGTGGTATAATGCAGAGTACCAAAAAAAGGTTGAATTTGCATTTATAATTTTACTTGGACTTTATAAATCTGTTTAATTACTCATACAGCTACAACGTTAGTCGAGGCTATAAGATCTCCTGGAGAACAGTACTTGAATAAAACATTCAGTATAACATCTCCACTACTGCAGTGTCTACTGATAATGGCACAGTAACTCCATTCCATGTTTGTTTGCAGTAGTTCTTGGCAATTTGTCTGGAGTTTTAAATGAAGATTCAGGAGATCAGACCCTATCCCTTTTCACTACATAAGGGTATGAAAGTCAGAAACTACCCTTTTTTAGCTGTTGCATTAACACATCATATATGCCATTGTGGCAATCCTCTTTTCACCCTAGCTGTGTCTTCAAGTGAGGAGGAGAGGAGAATTGCAGGCTCACCAGGGTTTACTGTGCTTTAATGCTTAACAGGTGTGTGTGATGGAAAGAGTCGCAGCCAGCAGCCTATCATGGCAAGAAAATTAATTAAAAGTTTAAGGCCTAATTAAATCCCAAATTTAGGATACACTTAAGTAAAGAAGCATTGAAGAGAGAATGGCCTTTTCACAAATTTGTTTACCAGAACTGAGCAGAAAATTGAGCGCTATAGAACCTTATTTCTTTTAAGAATGGGCTGGATGAGATCCTTGAATCAATTAATTACTATGAAATGGGCTGTTCTTCAGCTGCTTGTTTCCTTTCTTCCTCTCGTTCCTATTTGCCAGGAGAACATCTCATTGTGCCTTTGATCCCAGTAACATCTTAAAAACAAAATCCTTTTCTATTCTGCCATCCACTTCTACTGTGCTGTTGGCACCAGCACTGCTACTTCACTCACAGCCTTCAGTGAATATGCAGTTGTCCTTGAACCTTCAGGTATCCTGATCAGTCTTGTTCTTCCATCTCCTCAGAATATCCACTTCACTCCTGCTTCAGTCCTCTTCCCCAAATTCATAAACGCCCAGGATGCTGTCATCCTTCCAGAAATACCCCAACTCTGTGACCATATCAGTTCTGTGATGAAAACTATTTCTCTCCCTAACAGATTGCTGAGAAGCACACACTTGTTCTATTTGCTCTTGCCAACCGCCTTCAAAATATTAAGCCACGGCTATTGATAATACTGGAGCTCTGATGCAGGAGACGATATTTTGCAATCTGTAGTTCCATTGCAGCCCAAACATAGCAGTCTGGAGCTTTCTTTTTATTCACTGCAAGCTCTACCTTAGTCTTTCATATTTTAGATGACCGTCTCAGACCTGTGCTCAGGCTCTTTCCACCTTGAGTGTTTCACACTTGGTACCGTTTCATGCGGAGGGAACCATAGGGGCTGTAACATCCACCTGGTTTCTGGGAATTGTTCACCTTCAATGCCAAGCTAAAGGCTAGATATCTTGCTGCCTTCCTCAATACTCATCCTGTCATTCCTTTGTCACCTGACCCTCAAGTGCCCACTAACGCCTCAACAGTGCCTGGAGCAAATAAATGACATCACCTTTTACAAAGTCTACCTATAATCTCTTGTATACTTCCTGTTTACCATGACTGCATCCTCTATAACTTTCAGTTTTAATTGAGGTAAGTGTTTTTCAGCCCCTTGGCCTTGTTGGAGGGGGAAAAAAAACACTTTTTTTGGATTCCTTATCAACACTTTCCAAACTGTACTCTATTGTTGCCTCACTTATTGGGGTTCCTCCTGGAATATTAAGATATCTGTCCTCATCCTCCCAGAATGTCTGTAGTTCACATTATAAATAAAGGCTGATCTTGCTTCCCCATCTTAGGAATGCGAGATGCCATATAAATTGCTAAACGATAGAGCAGGAATTTTCATTTGATATCAATGTTTATTCTTCATCAAAAGCCCTTAAAGCAGAAGCACCTTTGCCACCCCAGTGGGGAAGAGCACTTCTCTCCTTCTAGTGTCAAAATTCAAACCTACAGCACATTTATACTTTGAATGCACTGCTACTCTTTTAATCAACATAAACCCTCTCTGCTCTTTCTGTAGACTTTGGTTCCCTTCTGGGTTCAGAATTCTCAGGTCTTTAATTTTTGATTGTGGGAGGGGGTTTTGATAGTCTTGTCCTTATGGTCATGTTACCATTTTCTCAAGTGGATTTAAGACCATAAACCTACTTGAACCAAGTTTGAATTGGAATTTGATAGACCTACTGAGGCTTTGTAAGAATTGTTTTTTTTTAACCTACACTGAACCATAGTTCAGTTGCGTCGTGTGGTAAACTAATGATATGATGCTGAAAAGGTGGCAAAATCTGACCTCAGTTAGTTAATTTTCAGTAACACTTTTCATTGCTTGTCTTTGTGTTATCAGGACTGCTAATTGTTACTTTGACATTGAGTGGCGTGACCGGAAAATCACCCTGAAAGCTGCCAACGGAAAATATGTTGCAGCCAAAAAGAATGGGCAACTGGCAGCCACTACCGATGCTGCAGGTGAGTCCCTGAGATAAGATCTACTGCTGGTGATTATTTGAGTCCATTTACTTTCACTGATGCAAAACTATGCAAGCTTAGTGCTGATATAGCGAGCTTTTCATGTTAATGTGCTTGACAGTGAAGCAGAGGTGATTTCGTTTTGCATTCGATAAAAGCAGTTGTATGTAATGCCTTGCAGAAATATTCACTCCCTTGAAAGGTGTCCATGATTTACTACCATTGAGCTTCCAGTCCATCTTCTATATATCTGTTTTAAACTGAGAAAAGGGAAACAGTGCTGTTTTGATGAAAGAAGGTTCTTAATGGCATAGTTATTCAATTCAGTTCAGATAAAGATAATGGTCTTTGTGCAATCATTTAACCTGACTCCAAAATGTACAGGTTTGAAAGTTCCCAATTGAATTTGAAGTTGCATCTTGCATTGCAATACAAAAAATAAATAAATTAAGTTTTTAAAATTATATAAGGGACAAATTGGTAAAGAAGCACAGACTAGGAGATGACTAGAAAACAATCTCCAAGTTACTACAAGTAGGAATGTGTCCTACTATCCAGAATAGGCTACTCCCTCCAAACCAAGCAGTTGGGTATGAGGGAAATGAGTTAAGGATGACCCTGTGAAGTCAATGGTGACTTTGAAAGCCTTTGAGTCGTGGGGGTGGAGGGGGCGGTTCAGTGTTCATTTACCAACAATATCTCACACTTCAGCTGCATGTAGGAACTATGGGTGGGTAGCCAGAAAGTTGAATTGCTTCTACTGTTTGGTAGTTATTGCTGCCAAAGGGACACTTCCACCAAGCACTTACAAGGTGAAATATACAACTACTTCAGTTCCAGGTTGTATATTTTCTTTACAGGTTTTGGTGACATTCATCCTCTGTCACAGTTGTACTAGTTCTGCTTGTTAATTTCCATTTTGAATGAAGTTAATTTGGAAAAAAATCTATATATTTGTAATTCATCACAAATGTTATTCAAGATACCATAGTTTATTCACACCACTGTAGCCATATTTAGATCAAGGCCAACTACCTTAAGTCGCTTGAAGAAGGCTCCATGGCCAAAACGTTGTTTTCTCTCTTCTTTTTTTCAGCATGGAATAAACCTATTACTTGTTCCTTTGCAGTCTATGCATGCTGAAGCAGTTACAGACCTGAACTACCATAAGGCTTTATATTTACCTTGGCTAACATGGATGGGAGCAGCTTTTCTTGTTTCTTCCTTATGTCACAAGACATTTCGGTGTGTTCTGATCCTCTTTTTTTTTTTTTTTTCCCCCTTATGTCCTTTTCCTTCAAGGCGAGACTGAAGAGTTCCTCATGAAGCTCATTAACAGGCCCATCATTGTCCTGCGAGGAGAACATGGTTTCATTGCCTGCAGGAAGCTGACTGGTACCTTGGACTCCAACCGTTCCTCTTATGATGTCTTTCAGCTGGAATTCCGCAATGGAGCTTACAGTTTGAGAGGTCAGTCAAGTCCTGGATTTTTGTTTTAGCATGGAATAGTATAGCGATTCAGTACCCAGGATAATGCTGTGTTGCTGTGTAAGTCATGGGGATGCGATATTTGCCATACTGCAATTGTTCTGATTTGCCAAAAGTCTACAGTATTCAGATTTTTAGCATTCCATCTACCTTCCTCCAATATTTATCCAATTTACAGAAAAATACACAATATATATTGGCATAAAGAATATTTTAAGAACTTAATGAACTTTTTCTAATGGATTGCAAAATAAGTTATAAAAGGCACCAGGGTGCTTTCTACGATACATGTACTACTCTTATTTCAACGGAAAGCACAAGAATTGCAGTGAGTAGTCCTGGACTCTAAAGGTAGAGTCTGGAGAGGTACATAAGTGATCCATTACTACTAAAGTAAAGTTGCATGTGGATTTTTATAAGATTATTAATGGCCCAAATAAAGTTGGTTGGTAAGAACTTCTGGGATGGAAAAATGAGTGTAAGTTCTTGCTGTCTAAGAGTTGACTCTTGAGGCATCTGTTGACATTTTCTGCATTTTAAAAAGATGCTCTTTAGAGGTTCATCAGGGTTTCCGATTTGCCTTTTCAAAACAAGAGCAGCGGCTAGTGAGTCCATGCCAGCATGCTCTCGCTCTTGTTCTAGGATAGCCGTTCATTTTCCTGGGCCTCTACATGTGGTCCCTGACCTCGACCCCTCTGTCTCCCAGATAGCACAGGTAAATACTGGATGGTTGGCAACGAGTCCTCGGTGGTCAGCAGTAGCGACGCCCCTGTCGATTTCTCCCTGGAGTTCTGCGATTACAACAAGGTGGCAATCAAGGCCTCGAACGGGAAGTACCTGAAGGGAGACCACGCTGGCGTGCTCAAAGCCATCGCCGACGACATCGACAGCTCCTCTCTGTGGGAGTACTAGAAGCACTTTAGCAACCACTGTGGCTTTTTTTTTACATTTTATTTTTTTTTCTTTTAATGATTTCTTTCAGCGTGCATGTGGGGTTTAATGGTTCTAAAGAATGCAGACCTGCCATGGATTGCTAAGCTTGTCAGCCTTCACAGGACAGCATGTCGCTAGCTTTAGGGGAAGTGTACATTGCAAAAACCCCAGTTAGACGGGGCCTGTTCTACACGTAGGACTGATGTACCTCTGTGTTGTTCTTTCTTGTCTAAATGGTGCCTCACAGTTGTGTGAAGAAAATATAAATTGTCAGAATATGTTTTCACTTTAATCGCAGCCTAGAGTTCAACTTTGTGAGAAAGTACTAGACTTTGAGACCTTTTTTGATGCACGTTGACCGATTTTGTTATTCTGGTTCTTAGAATAACGTGCTTGCTTGTTAGTTGCTCATGAGTCCTAGCTGAGATGCACAAAATTTTGATGGGGGGAAAATCGGCAAAAAACATTTTTTGCTAGACAGGAAGAAATAGGATGCAAACCTCTTGCAATGGCTTCAAATGAACCCTGCTTTCAAAATAAATACCAGTGGTTTTTCTAACCACCGCTATCTGGTCTGTCAAGCACAAGTACACTTTCACAGACTCGTGAAAAGCAGTTTCACACCCCAGAGTTTGCTAGCTGAGTTTGTGCGTGGTGGCCTTTTGTGGCACAACTTTTTGTTTTGTTGTTAATGCTAAAGATGGGAGCAAATGACAGGATGGCCTGTTAAATAAAACTACAATTAAAAAGCAGATAAAACTAATGAATGAAAGATGGATACCAAACATGCAAATATCCATCATTTTCAGTCAGATTAGCCAAGTGGTTTTGTTTTTTTTTTTAACCATTTTCAACAGTATTTAACGAAAGACCTTTATTTTACAGTATTTTTTGCTCTTGTCTAAAGAAACCTGACTTTCTTGCCATAATTTGATTCAGTATTTATGAAGTATACAGTGAGAAGTTCTATCAAAAGGTCAAAATAACCCTGAATGAATAAAAAATATGGTCCTCCATACACATAACTTGTGGTTTCCACTTGATTTAACCGAGACCTTTGTAATGTGAATAACCTAAAGATGTGATGACCAAATACTGTTTTCTCTTTGTGCCATAATATTTTTTTTTTTTCCTTTTGTCTCATGGAAGAAAACTGAACTGGAAATGCTTCAGATTGTTCTGGGCTTAAGTGCAATGTGCACAGTCATCTCAAACAACTGGACCAAGAGAAAAGATGAATGCCAAATGTTGCATGACAATTCCACAGTGGAAAAACTAACATTCTCAAATTTTATAATGGCCACATTTAACCTGTTCACTGCAACGTACAGTACAAGTTCTGTTTCAAAATGTGATGTTTAGATGTAGGTGTTTGTATTGATTACTGATCTGAAGTTGTTGCAGGTTCAACACCGTATATAATTGTATAATAAACTAGTCAACTGGACCCTTGTTAATCCATGGCAGGATTGCTTGCTTTCTTCCTCTGTTGCTGTAACACACAAGCTTCAAAGAAACAAGTTTATCTGGAATGCACAATTGTTTCAAAGGTTTCTGGAATAATTTACGAAACTCTTTACTTTTTGAAGGCACAGTCTTTATCATTGTTTTATTTTTTTTCCTGTTTTTGCTTAAGCAAATTGCAACAAAGCTGATTTAAAACCCCAAATGCCACACCACAGCCTGTTGATCTATGTCGACATGGATAAACTGTGGCGTTTGACTGCTCCAGGTTCAGACTACAGCTCTTTTTGTCAGATTTATCAGCAAGCAGTGGCAAACATATTCCAGGCAAAATGGATGTTTAGCAACATGAAAATCGCATTACAATTCCCTTTACTTAAAGAAAATTTGAATATTGCTTTAGTATTAACTAAGGGAGCTGACTAGCTATGAACCTAGACTTGATATTCCTGCTTTAAATGTTTCTCTTTCCAATCTAATGTCGGAAGCTCAGATATTCTGGCATGTAAAACCTCTATAGCTCACTTTGGTGCTAAAAGGTAGTGGCTAAAACTATTTAGACAAAAGCTTATAGTAGATTCCAGTTAAACAATTGCACAAAATCATTGTCTTTGGTTTTTTTTTTTCCTCCAAGTGACCTCTCAAGAATAGGCAATATCTCATGTCATGAAAAACGAGCAACCATTTAAAAACTAGATGAGTTTCCTGGTGCTAAAATGTCTTGCAAGCCACACCAGACTGAAATTCTGTACATCAGTTCATCTCCTTGGTAGTTGTAGGATTTTAAGGCAGGTCTGTCTTCACTGTAGCAATGCTCAGTGCTCTGGTACTCCATTCCACCTCTGTGGGTGCCAGTTTCTCTAACCAAAGAGCCTACATTAGGCTGGAAAGGGGTGCCATTTCAACTACAGTGGGTGTACAAAGAAAGCCATAAATGCTTTCTTTAAGTGCTTTTCAAAACAAAGTCAACATGCTACTTGCAACAGGAGACCACGTGAATTCCTCATTTGTTTGTTCAATTGCTAATGACTGCTTTTCAACTGACAGAGACAGTGGGGTTGTCAACAAACCAGGACAGTAATATTGATAATGGTTGTGCCTTGCTCAGAGTATTGGTTGGGTTATGAAACATTCCTCTTCTGTATCTTGTAAAGGTGGAACTTTATTTTTTATTTGGATAACTGTGGTTACTATTTTTTTTTCTGATGTGCCATTTGTATAACTTAAAACCAATGTCAAATAAAAAGTTTCCATATGAACTTTTGAAGTTGGTTTTACTTCAATGCTTTTTAATTGGTCACGGGATGGAAAATACACTTGCAATGTCTTGGTGAGTTTTGTAAATTGTGTTCAGTGTTTTATTAATCAAGTTTTGCCTGAAAGCATCTACAAAACATCCACTCAAACCAGTCCTACAAAACACTCCAATATAGTTTAATGGTGTATGTGGGTACTAAACCAGCTATTCCCAAAAACCTGGCCTGGAATTTGTGTCCTCAGGTATTCATGTGGAATATGAATCTTTTTCTTTCAATAATTGCATCATATTCTGTATTCTTCATGTGCATAAATTACACACCTTTGTCCACATGCAGACTAGTAGAACAGTAATGAAATATTGCCATAATAACTTAAGTTGAAGGTATTTAAGACCTGACATGGCTACAGTATGTATAGGCTCTTTCCTATGTTTTCATAAATCTTGACCTAAATCATAATTTGCTATACTTATGCAGCACTTTTTTCAAAGAGCTTTACAGTAAATGAGGACTCCCCTCTACCACCACCAATGTGTAGCACCCATCTAGATGATGCAACCTTATGTGTGTCATTAGTTTTAGAATACAGGGTCGTAGGATTTTCCAAGTAACATTTAAAAACAAATTAGGGTAGCAGATTTTTTTTTAAACCTTAAACTTATAAACTACACCAATTCCAGCTGCGGTGCCCTTACAGGGCTTTAAACATCTGCTATAATGCCTAGATATTTGTGTGAGTGTGCTACTGGGACCACTCTGCTTTGGAAAGTTGATTTTGGAACCTAATCCACACATTGCACAGAGCAGGAATGTAGTTTTTTTCTGCATTTGATTTGTTCATGAATGTCCTGAATTTGACCTCACTCTCATGTTCCTTACATTGCTTTGTTTATTGAAGATTGGCCTTTCACATACATTTTGTTTGGTTCAGAAATTAAATCTAATTTGATTTTAAAATATTATAAATGTAGCTCTGTAGTAGTTTATTTTTACGCTTCATTTTAAGATAATTCTAAGGAATTTTGTGAATCTTACTGCATTATGGACTGCTGTACTGGTGACCAGGTTAATGAGAGTCTCCAGAGCTAATGATGAAATAGAGCTGACATGGAGATTTAACACCAGGACAGATGTATAGAATTAAAAACTAACTCACAGGTTAGTTCTTGGCTGTAGACTGTAGATTTATGAGTGAGAGGAAACACCCTACCATCTTATATTTGATGCAGATCTTAAAACATATGAGGGATATCAGAGAATGAGTCTGAAATTAAACCCATGTGACATTCTGGGCCTGGTCTGATATTCTTATGTTTAAAGTTCTAGTTAAACACTACCTTGTTTCAGATTTCAACATACAGGGTTGAAGTTTAGCCTACTTTACAATCTTCAATTACCTTGGCAATCGATTATACATAATCATAGCACTTAAAAAAAAAAATTCCCTCATGCTTTACGCAGGGCAATAGATCTGAACAGCTTGTTAAATGCGTTTCCTCCATTAATAACAGACTAATTTTAGCAGAGCCCTTGAAATGATTACAGTAAATCATTCTAAGAGGCTCTGAATGATAAACATTTTGAAAGCAGAAGACACAATATTGGATAACCTTGAGCAGTCCCAAAACAGTGTGCAAACACACACATGCGTGTGACACATGGAGATGAACTCACACTTCAGAGGAGAGTCTGTGACTGTGCTTAGCCTTCAGTATCAAAGGAAAACTGCTGATATATGGCTTCGGAGTCTAGCTTTGAACATCACTGTCTCAGAATTACCTTGCCCAAGCAGGCTGTCGGGAACATAAGACTGCACTGTTTCTGCTCACTCAACTCAGACATAACTTGATAAATGTTGATTTGTGGAGCCTGGCCACCTTCTATTCTGACACCTCCATGCTTCCTCTGTGAGAGGTAATGTAATAAGAGGCCTCCGGAGCTCTTCTGTAATCTGCTTTGCTTTATTTACTAAAAACAGGCCTAGACGGTGTCAGATAGGTTAATTGTACCATGTCCCTGAGGCCTGCACACTGCCTACAGATGTCTTCATCTGGTTTCTTTCAAGTCTTGCAAATGACAATCTTCAAATAAATCATAAGAATCTCAGGCCATCAGCTGGCAGAACAAAGCCAACTCCAACATAAAATATTGTGTTATTAGACAGGGCCATTAAAGTAATATACATTATAGTTTAATGCTTTTTTAACAATCTGAGAATCATGCCTTTATTGGAAGGGATAGAATAAACTTTGAAAAAAAGTTTTGGTTTCAAAGACAGTACTACGTACCAATGAAGCCATTTAAAGGCCAGGCTAGCAGGTTTTGGAAAATATACACAACAATTCAGCTACTGTCAAGAACAAGTACTAGAAAATACAGTTTTAAAAGCTAGGGGAAAATTAAGATCCTATCATTTCACAACAACTATTACAACCCTTTGCATATGAAGTACACTAGTAAATTCTCCTGTTTTGTGTTAGAGCAATTCCAAAGTGAGGTAAGATAAGATTAGATCAATTCCAAAGATGAGGTAAGATTCTTAGCTATTTTCAAACCAGCTTTATACTGTATACCTAATTTCATCACACAAAATGACATTTTCCCTTGGCTGTGCAGCATTGATTGAGGCTTATAGAAAATGAATGTATGATTCCTGCACAGGCTCTGTGGGCAAACTTACTCAGCACCACAGACATTTGAGATTCCTGTTGCCATAGAAACTTGGACAGGAAGACGTGTGTTGGAGGGGAGAGACTGAGAGAAAGCAGCGTGTGGGGGTGGGGATGGACCCTAATGTTTTAGAAAGAGCTAGAAAAATTAATTTTTCAAGAAGTGAAGACCCTGTCCCCTAAAAAAAAAATCAAAGGCCATGAATTTCTTTTTATGTCAAATACACTATTTAGACAAACTGGGATTTCAAATTTGTATTTAATTTGAAAAGTGTGAGGCAAGCAAGCCTTTAATCAGGAGTTTGTTTATTATCCAGCCACAAAGGTATTTATTTAATGGCTTGGAATGTAACACAGAGATCTATTCTGCATACAATTATGTAACTGGATCTAGAAAACCAGCTGCAATCTGGCTTTGATTTTATTCACTTAATCTGTTTCTGAAATATCTTGAAGTTTGCCTTTAATAATAGAAGATTTATAAAAACATTCAGCTTTTATGTTTGCTGACAGATCTGGTGAATGTATTTATTCACTTAAGTGAAGCAAGCCTTAAAGGGTAATGCAATAGTTAAAAATCAAATGTAGATTTCTCTAGGCGATTGGAAAACAGGTCTTTTCTTGATCAGCATGTTTTTTTTAAGCCTTTGTCCAAACATTACCACTTCATTTTCATGAACAAACCTTAGACATATAATAACTGTTAATGTGCACATATTGGTATTAAATATGCAGCCTGCAAGTCCAGTTAATAATCATTTCTAAAGGAGGGTAAAGGTGAATACATAAGCATTCAATGCCATTTTTCGATTTTTGGCATAAAATTTGAAGACCATACCAGTGATTTAACAACTATTGACTTCCCCATTCGGATGGTGGCTGAACTACCCTGGCGGTAGTTTAAAATATAATGTAAATGGTTGGGTTATCATACTGCCCTGAAGGTTTCCTGTGACCAGTCATAACATTCAGTTTTACTCTTGTAAAAACACAAGAATGTCAACAGCATCACTGTTGACAGCAGTTAAATTTGTGGAAGGAGTAGGTGGGGAAGATAAGAAATCAGTACAGTATGTACCTCTGAAATATGAATGATCATTGACTATAATTCTGCCACATTGCAGAATTTGAGATGTATTGTGCACTGTTGATGTAATATAATGTCAAAGTTGAACACCTTTTATGTTCATTTTTAAAGCAAAGCAAATTTTCTTTCTGTAACTCAATAGACATCAACATGCATCATTTCAGGATGTTTATTCTTCATTTCCTTTCAATTGTGTCCATTTTCTTCATTTGTATATATAACACACATGTTGAGTTTTTGGGGATTCTGGTTATGTTCTGCTGTTGAGAGTGGCATACAATTGCTTCATTCATTGTATCAGGAAACAGACAGGTCAGCACAAAAGGTTAGACTTCATATACGAACCACCAGAGACTACGTAAACATTCTGATTGTCAAGATACTAGAGCAAACCAAGGAATGCAAGTTTGATGTTCGTATTAAAAAAAAGGTTTAATTTCATCATCTTTCCTGGAACATCCATCCTCTAAGTACTGTGTTTTTATGAAGCAGGCTTACTGAGATCTAAGATCTTTTGAGACATTCTATTCCCATTAGGCACTGTGTCTTAAAACACAATAACAGGCCACAACTTCCTAATTATTTCAGTAACCTAATGAAGGGTGCAGCTGTCGCCAAGTTGACTTCTGAACCCTGGGATGAGATTAAAGTTAAGACTGAGGATTTGTGCTTTGGTTGAATGGGCAAGAGCTGAGTGACTGGATTAAGAAGTACATTTGGGGGAAAAGGTGGGACCCAGAATGAGTGAATCGCTGTATACCAAACCTCAGTTCTTAAATTAGAAACACAACAAAAAATAAATAAATATTAAGATGTCTCATTATTTGATATCTTAAAAAAACAAAACTGATGTAATTGCCCAAGAACAAACAAAAGTATGATCAAATGAAGAAAGCACATGAGTTGAATTATTAGGGATAATTTGCTTGCAACATGTTTTATGAGACCACAGCTTCAGGAATGGGGAATCTTCTATTCAGGGGCACTTTTAAAGCACAACAACCCTTATTTATAGTCAGGTTCTAAACTGCAGTGTTACCAACTTTAAGCCTTTAAGCCAACTGTTAGCCTGATATCATCAGATCTCAGAAGCTGGGAAAGGCTGGGCCTGGTCAATGTCAAGACCTCTGAAGACAGCTAGGATGCAGCTGTAAGGGATGTTAGTGGACCAGTAGGTGGTGCTCTTTCCTCTGGATCTAAATGTTCAAACCAATATTATTCTAGCATGTTTACTCATCACACCATCCTG